CGTGCCGTGCAGCGTCGGCGTCGTCGTCTGTCGCAGTTGTCGACTGCCAGAAGCAGTTTCTTTTTACCTCCTCCTCCTTCTCCAACCCCCTGCTCTTTCTCTTCTACCGTCCTCCGATTCGTTCTTTTCTTTCTTTACGAGAGATGCAGTATTTATAAGCAGGGGCGACTGACGCAAGAGAGGAAGGGAGAAGAAAAGAGAACCGAGGATTTCGCAGCACGCGTTCTCAATGGTGTTGGCGATGATACGCGTTCCGTCCTTCTCCTCGCCTTTTCTCCATTTCTTTCGTTCTCGAGAGAAAAGCAGCATGTCGTCGTCACTCCTACTCGGTCTTCCACGATGGTACACTCGTCGTCTCGCCGCGCCTCGTAGACTGTAGCTGCTTTGACAGACCGGCGGCTGGCGTGAAAACGCTCGCCAATTAACCAGCGGTGAATTATGCACCTCCCCCTTTACTTAGCCGCTAGTTTAGTAGGTGACTTACGTCGTACTTGCCAGCCGACAAGCCACGGACGAATTCGAGTACCACGCTGAGCGCTGAACGCTCCTTCTCTCTCTCTCGTTTCTATCTCTCGCCTCTGTCCTCTCTCCTCTTCTCTCTTCGATTCTCTCATCGTTCCTCCAGCGTCTGTGATCCCTTTCTCCTCCTCCTCTTCTCTTCCCGGTGGGCCGGTGCACAAAGCGGGCACGGTGTCGCAAGCAGCCGGACATCCGGTAACTCGCAGAGGCCCCTTTGAAGTCTTTGAGAACGCGAATTCGCGGGATCGTACGCCGAATGAAATATCGCGATGCGCGGCCGTCCACGTGCCGTCTCTCTGTTCCCTCTGTCCTCGTTGGCAACGCATTGCAACACAGTTGCGCGATGCGTCGCGCGCCCGGATACGCGTTAAAGTGGAAAAGGATTACGAACTGCGGAGGATTCTACCGCAGGCGGCAAATTATAGCCCGCCTTCTTGCGAGAAACATTTACAGCGTATTTCTTTTTCCCTCGATAGAAAAACTTGGCGCTTCCACGAAGATTATTTCCACCGGTCCGACCTGATCATAGCATACGCATTTGGGTTACCTAATTATGTCCTTATTGAAAACACAGAATTTCGAGAGGCTTAAATGCGCGTTAACGTTCAGCTAGTGGGAATATTAGATTACTATTATTATGATCATCAAATATATCGCATGTACATTTGTATAAAGGCGCAGGTACTGAAAGATGAAATATCGTCGCGTATTTCAATTCTAGGCTGTTGATCGAGATCACTTTTATATATTCCTCTGGCACAGTGATAAATCTCACGAAAAATACTTGTCCAGCGGCGGCCTGGCCCACGATTCGTTCGCTGAAGCTCAACGGGCAGCTGACAATACGGCCGTGAGGTGTCCCTCGTAAAATTCGAATTTGTCCGCCGGTCGTTAGCCGAGAAATCCAAAACCATCTTTCGCCCGCCGAGCTCCAAGTTCGCTTTCTCTCTCTCTCGCTTTTTCTCTCTCTCGCTTTTTCTCTCTCCTTCTCTTGCTGCAGGCGGCCGTACGGAATAATCTACCATCCGTAGAACAATCTATCACGCTGTACAACGAAAGTTTGACGCAATGTCAAAACGCGGACCCGTTAATTTTTCATGTCGTTTCACCCGGAACTCGTGCTGTAACTGCGCCTCCTAACCCCGGTCGTATATACACCGCCGACCTGATCCACGTCGTCGACGCTGGTCCAGCAAGTTGTCTCGACGTTGCCATTCATTATTCACCACCTACACTGATACGCGCTACCTTTCGACAACGCGGGACGCACTTGCGTGGCGGTGCGCCAGAAAAAGAACGTGTGTCACGTATCTGTTTTACAGATTGTCTAGTTAAATGCAGCCCTCTTTATTTATTACCATATTATTCGATGTAAAAAGATTGTGTCTCCGCGGAGAATATTATTTCGCAGCAGATAAAATTTTATTTACGAATTATTCGCATATACGGTGATCATTAAAAAGATTTCATTAACGAAATAAATTTATATAATGATATTGCGATTGCGTGTAGCACGAATATATTATATACAATATACTATATAGTGAAATTAAGATATGAAACTTGAAATTTCAATAAAGAACTAGTTATTTTGAAATAGATAATGAATAACTAATTGAATATTTATGTGAGTTACCTGTGTTATCTCTCGCATTTAATTATTGAGATTTTTGCGACTAATTAACATCTATTTATTTAAAAACTTAACTATCTTTTTAAATATCTTGTTTTTTTCATGAGAGGCTATAAGTGAAAATTGCAACAGAACAATTTAAGTTAATATACATACTCGTAGATCGTAAGAATTCAGATTTTATTATATATATTTATACTTTCTCTCTCTTTTCTGAAAATATTTCATCATAATTACATTTATTAAAAAAAATTTACATTACGTCATAATAATGTTATATAATTACATAAAACGTAACTACTTGATCTTTTCCGTCTATCGCATTTTTACGATGCCAACTTTGCTCTAGCAGAGCCCACCCCCTTCCCCTAATGTTTTAACTTTATCGCGACCTAAGTATGATTTTATGAGAAGCCGTGGGCTAAATATGCCCGCATCGTAAAATTAATGGCGTTTTCATAAAGGAATTCGCTGCTTAAAACTCGATAAAAGCCAATAAACCATCGCTGCAGAACGCAGTTTAGTTGAGTTTATCGTCTGCCCCCTCTTGGAAGCCCTCGCGAAACGTCCGAGTAATCGCGGCAGGCACCTACATCCATTTATATTTCTTTTTTTTCCAAATAAAATGCATGCGTGAAAAGTCCTGTTGTGAAAAAGAAGGGTTAGTGCAGTGGCGAGATTTACCGCGTCCTTCGCGAGAATTCGCGTTGCAACCGGAAACTGTCGTCGTATATATAACGACGATTCCCGGAGACGCAAAATCGCGCGACCTAAGTATATATCCCGGCTGTATACACGGCAAACTACTGTTAATTTTTATTAACCGTGACGGCGCAACGGTGAAGCTACACGCGCGAAAAGTTGTAAGTGCCATAAAGCTTCGTTCGCGAAATTACACGCGCGAATGGCAAATGGGAAAGCGGTGCCCGAAAGAACGCGGATAGATTGCGAATTACCCGTGCCATGATTAAGGCGTATAACTGTTTATTTATACCGCGATTGCGAGCTACTTTTTTATTTACAGGTATATACAACCGCGTGAAAATTGAAACGTCCCTCTCGCCCATTACCTTCTTCGGTTACTTTTACAGTAACGATAAATTTTCGCGGAGATTGATAAAATATCGGAATAAAATCTAGCAATTGCAGTACGTCATAGCCCACGTATGATGAGCGATATCATCCCAGTGCTTCTTGGGCGTTGAAGGCACTCGCGTTACTGCTAAGGGGAGAACGGACGAATGGATGAAAAAGGTCGTCAATTCGTCGTTATTGCACTGTGGAAACGCTATGGTCACTAAAAGTGACCATATAACATCCGTATGCATTTGTGGAATAAAGTAGCCGATTATCGTTCGTTTGCCATTATAAGATACATCATCCAGACGGCAGATAGCCTTGTCTTCCTTAACAGCATGATGATCTTAGAATTGGACCCGTTGTACTCAGTAATAACGGCTCGGTTTATCTGCGACGGGTACTAGCTACCTATATAATGTTACCTTCACCTCTCACGCATCGACATTTTTGCCCATCGATATCTTTATAGTAACATAAAACGGGTTTATCGCGCGATTTAAGCGCCATTTAGGGCATTCACGACGCGCCACGACAGAGCTTGCCGATTCTAAAACGTAAAACGTTTTCGTTATCGGAATAATTAGCTAATGCAAGTGATTCATATGGTCTCATCTGTTAATCCTAGAAATTGTACTTATTTTTAGAATTTTATTGATTTATTATTTCTTGCCAAATCGTATCAAGTCGAAGAATTACAGAACTAATTTATTTATCGTAATTTAATAATCGAATATTCTCCCGAAATCTTGTCGTGCATTTCCATCATTTGTAACAATTTTTCTTCACTTCCAATCTTCAATGCACTTTCGAGGACACCGCGCGCTCGTATTACGGACCACCGGCTGAAATCGAGAGAATACGAAGGCACGAAAGGACACCGATACTCACATAACTCTGAATCTGGCGGACGGGGGGAGCGCTCCGCGACTCTTTGAAGGTTTATGCCGATTCAGAAACGAGTTGATTCATGAAGACGGCGTGGACCTCCTTCGGATCTACGGCTTGGTGCACCCCAGGTCGTAGCGGGTGGTCCCGTGAGTTGATTTCTTGTTTCTTCTACCGCAAACCCGCGAACGCGGTAGTCCCCGTCGTCCTTCTCTCCTCTAACTCCCGTGGAAAGAACGAGAGAGAAGCGGAGCGCCAGAGAAAGGTGGAGAAGAAGAGGAGGAAGGTAGAAACGGGACGAAAGCGATGTTCCCCGCTGTCCGCATAGCTATAGGAATTGTCGATTTAAATGTTTACTAATAACCAGGCTTGTCCAGCAACCACCCAGAAGTCGGTCGCTTTGCATTTTTATAAGTACATCCCGGCCGTCCCGGTTCCGAGAATGAGAACGTTTCATATTCATTCACCGTTCTGAAAGGATAGTCCCCTACAGTCGACTAGAAGCCTCCTCGTGTATGTATTGTCTCTGCTGAATTACACACGATGCACGATTAGGCCCTCGACTCGAATGGCATAATAATCAACATGTTACCCGACTCGGAAAAGCGGCGTATGCCCGCAAGAATACTGAATTGTATTCGATTATCAAGTCGTTCGATAAGTTCGATACATATACGGGATATCTCCGAACTGGCAGTATAATCGAAAAAAAAAACGATAAATTTTCACATGAAAAAAATTAATTTTAAATATAAGATATATTTTTTTAGAGACTTACATAAAGAAGGAATAATAAACACTTGGTATGCATATATAAATATTTGGCGGTATAATTGGCGAAGAGAGTTATAGGTCAGAAATGAGAAACTCGTTTGTTTTCCGTAATGATTCGTTTATTGCGAAAGGACACAGTCTGCGCGTTGACGTCACATGTCAGTGTGACATCGGCGAGTTCGCGTGAAATTTTGGACACGAATGACTAAAAGGTGATGGCGATCGTTCACTCTCGACATGACATGATATGTTGACAGCCGTTGTGGTGCCCGTGGCTTCACCTTCGTGTAACTTAGAACGTTCCTTTTCTACGCAACGACGACGGGACGCGACGGAGTTGTGTTCGCAAGCAGATTGCGAGCGACGTCATTATAATTGCGCGAGTCGACGGAAAGTCACACAATCGATTCGCGATTCGGCAGCCTTTATCCGCGTTCTTGCGAAAAATTATCACAAGCCAATAATTTTTAGCAAAATAAATAAGAGAGAAGATACTTACAAGAAGAGGAACCAAGGACTGACCTCCAAGAATCTCTTATGTCTATACACTCCGGCGATCCCTCGCAATCTGTCGCCGCGACTAACGACCCATACCTCGTCATGCTCGACCGAGTCGACGTGAATCGATAATATTATAAACATTGCAATAACAATCATAATAATAATCATAATAATCATAATAATAATAATCGTCATTAATATGAATTATGATCTCAGGTAGGCTAGTAATATAGTGTCTACTCTACATACAATACATACACTGGCCGGATTTCTCTACTGGGCCTTTCTTCTACTATTTACAAACGCATAAATAATAGTAATTATATTATTGTATATCTTTAGATATTTATAATATTTATATGTGTGTAATAGTACTGTCGAGTGTAATAGTACTGTTCTTGACGCGCTAGTTGTTGTACGGTTATACCGCGATAGAGCCACTATAGGTAGTCGGTACTAACAAGTTTTCCCTTTTTTTTTATCGAGAGTAATTGCGTTTACGGAAAATAAACTTGGATGAAAAGTCGGAGAGGGAGGGGGTAGGCAACGAGAGATAAAAGGAACATCGACGATGACATTGAAAAAGAAAAAAAAAAACGAAAAGACTAGGAACGAGGAGCGGGTTGGGGGGCAGTATATCTCATCATCTCCCGTTTTACTGTACACTAATTACAAGGTTGTAGTCTCTGATTATTGTCAGCCACACCACACAAAACGCCCGCCGATACACAGCGCGCGCCCGCGATAAATAACGTCTCTTTAGCGATCGGTCGCTACGTCGAGTCACACCCGTCCAGGAGATTTGAGTTCCTGAGTCGCGGGTAGGCCGGCGCTCGCCGGATGGGGCGAATGATCGGACCCGCCCGACGACGCCGTCGACGACGACGACGGCGACAGACCGGAGGACGCGGTGGTCAGTAAAACGGTCGAGCCGGCGGTGGTGCCGCCAGCCGCGCCGCTACCGCCGTTGATCGAGAAAGGTTTCACGGTACCGGCGGCGGAGATCGATGAGGACGAAGACGTAAGTATGCTCGGGGCCGTGGATGGCGGTATCACGCCGCCTAGTCCACCCAGAGTCCTCGAGTACGTCTCAAGCAGGGATATGTCACCGGAGCCGAGATGGGACGCGCCGTACAGGTTCCTGTAGAAGTCCGGATGCGGTCTTACGAACTGCGTGCCCGGATGTATCGGATGGAGAGGATGATGAGGCGGCAGTCGACTGGCCAAAGGGCTCACGAGCTTGCCCCCTGTGGTGCCGCCACCTCCACCTCCTCCACCACCACCGCCACCGCCAATGCCACCTCCGCCTCCGCCCGTTCCGCTGTAAGGTGACGTGAGGGCCGTCATCGTGGCTGGATTCGTACTTTGCTGATCGCCGTCCTTGCTCGCCATATCCGCCAGCGACCAGATCCGCGGCTTCGTCGTCACCGCGCTGACCGTGGACGGCGCGCTGGTGCTCGGCGGCAGATGATGGTGCTGGCTACCCGGCGACGTGCTCTCCGGCGAGGGATGACGCAACAACCGGCCGTGATTCGGGGTGAGATACGCCGGATGCTGCAGCTGCAGCGGATGCCTCGGCTCCCTCTGATCGTACAGGCATTCCGGGCTGTCCGGGCCACTGTCCGCTCGCGACTCGCTCCACTCGCTCTCGGTCCTACCTTGAACGCCCGCCGATCCGCCACTGCCACCGTGCAGTAGGTCCAAACGGTGCGCCGGTCGTTCCCCGTCCTCGCTGGAACCTGTACCTGAGTCTTTCGAATCTGAACCAAGAAGAAAAAGTCGAGCGTCGTAATTCGGAACAATGTTGGCTCCGGTTTGAATTTTTAATTTCTTAAAAAGCTTCGAATTTATTTAACAATTTAAACAGAAGAATCTCCAGGAGTACGGTAATAATATTATTGGTCGACATGGTTGATAACATCGATGATTAATAAGTAATATGATTAAAACTAAGAAATAGAGGACAAGACACTCACCTAGCCGATCTTTCTCGTCGACGCTCTTCCTCCCGCTATCGTCGTCCTCGTTATTGTTATCTTCGTCTTCGACACGGTTTCTTGGCTCCCACGTCATTTTATTTTCTTTTTTTAAACGCCTCCGCGCGTTTGCGAACCACGTCGACACTTGCGTCAGTGTCATCTTGGTAATAATAGCCAGCATGATCTTTTCGCCTTTCGTGGGATACGGATTCTTCTTGTGCTCGTTTAACCACGCTTTCAGCGTGCTCGTTGTTTCCCGTGTCGCATTTTTTCGCCTCGCGCCATTTAGATCCATGCCATAACTATAACAAATTAAAGTGAGAAAAATTATATGCAAAGTAGTCCCCACATACGATAATCGTTGAATTATTCTCTCGTATCCTGTAGAAAATATTTTCGTAGGCGATATATGCAAAAAAAATGCGAACTAACAAAAGCAAATAACGATGGTAATTCAATGACGAGTGTATAGAAAGATCATTGCTGTGTTTATATTCTCAATAACAACTTGTGTCTCCCAACCGGAACGCAGATGCAGGACTTGCGAGTTAAGTCACGCGTTTATTATCCCGTAACTGGTCTAGTAGGGTTTGAAACGATCCCTGGACCTCGCCAGACCAGTCGAGGATTAAGTTCTACGCGGACGCGTTTTCGTTCGAGGGAGACACGTGACCTGGATAGACGCATACACGATATTTTATATGCGAGTGAGCGAAAATAAATGCCAGCGCCAAGGGGGAAAGGGGGAGGACTAAGCAGATCCTCCGCGGAAGAGCTCGCGTCGACAAACTTATCCCATCGCGGGGCTCGTTATGCCTTCCCCAACGTCGGTATAAAAGTCCGAGTCCTGCTCGGTTTGAAGAGCGATATAAGCGGGTAGAGGTAGGTATACTACTTTCATCCCGAGAGCAGATCTCTATCTAACGGTTTAAGCTCTTTCCTCCCATCCTGGCCAGAGGAAAGAGAGCAGAGGAGCGAAGGGAGGGTGGGAGGAGGGAGAGAAGAGGAGAGCAAGCACAACCTCCTTCTTGCCTTCCACTCTGGCGGACCGAAGCGACCGACCCTCTGGGATCCCATTACTAAAAGACTAACCCTTATCAAAGATTAAACTTCGGTATAACTGCTGAATCGACGGGATCGAAATTAAATTTTCCACCACCAAGGCGACCGGCCAGGACTCACGGGATACTTTCTCTCCGCTTTTTTCTTTCCATTCCCTCTGTCTCTTTCTGTCTCTGCTTCTCGTGAAATTTTATTTTATTTCTTTTCTATTCGTCTCTCGTTTCCTTTCGCAGTTTTTTTTCTTCGCGTGTAAGATCTGGCCGAGATGTCGCGATCCAAAGCTTCGGATGTCTCGAGAGATTTATATGAAATCGCCGATCTAATCGGAAACGATTTTCTTAATCGTATTCGTCATTAATGATTGCAGGCGTTACTGAATTCTGTCGCAAATATGAATGATCTGACATGGTTTCATTGGTTTCATTGAGAATTATAATACATAAAAAAAAGTTTCAATATAAAACTTACATGTTAATTGATCTTACGTCTGAAATGTTTTCAGCGCACAAACAGTTGCGAAGCAAACGAGAGTTTATACGAAATTCTGGGTGTGAAAAACCTCCCTCATAAAAATACCTCTGAACGATGAGATATCGTTGATTCAAATCCCCAACCGGTACCTCCGCCACCTTCTGGACTCCGGCGGTGGCCCCGTCACGGCGCGTCGCCATTATTGAGCTTTATTTTCGCCTTCGCACACTCCGAGACGTATCTGACGACGGGGACACGAGGGTGGGAAGGCGTGTATGGACGCGCGACTGACGTCCCTGGTGTTGCGTGGCGTTGGGTAGGTTAGATATAGGGATGGTGAGCGTGGAAGTGGCGGCGGGAGATGGGAAATTAATAAAACTGTCACTTATCTACCCTTCTCCCGGAGGCAGGCCTACACACGGCATTTCTCGCTTCTCTATCTTCGTTGTCACCCTCCGTCCTCGTTCGCCATCTCCCTATCTCCCTTCACCCTTCCACCGCTATCTACCCATCGCACTTTTCCCGCTTCTATTTGTCTCGCTCCGATTCCGGGGCGCCCCGCATGCGGGATTTGAAACAGCTGAAACGAAGCGCTAAACATTTCAATTTGGCATCAGGCGCTTTCATGCCACGCGCGCGCGCGTATACGCCCGCGCACGCCTTGATATACATCTCTCTGTCTTCTCGTCTTTCGACCTATCCTATCCTTCCGCTGTGTTTTCCTCGTCCTATCCGCTCGACGCCAGGTCGCAGACGCGGAGAGTCGGAGACGCGGCGTCCTGCCTCCGCTCGCCGGGAGAATGGAGACGAAGGGAGGCAGAGGACGCGCAAGATGGACCGACATCGATAAAACGGGGGCAGGAAAAGTGCGAGGAAGACAGAAAAGAGCCAAGAGTACCAAGAGGAGGTGGCAGGACGGCGGCGGCGGCGGCGGTAGCCGGGGGCGGCAGTGACGGCGGGGGGATGGCTTAACCCCGGTCTGTTTGCGAGGAGCAAATGGCGTTCTGCAGTTATTTTAAAATTCAGCCGGTGGCAGGGGGCGCGGATCGGATTAAAAAATCAGAGTGGAAGCTTGTTTCTCATGATAACAGCCAGCCGCCCCGAGAGCGGCAACTGCTGGTGCCGCTGCTTTCTCCCGATTTCGCCTCCCTTGCCACTCCTCCGCTCCGTCTCTATCTCTCTGTTTCCTCCATCCGCGTACCGAGTACCGAGCCTGTTTCCCGTCTCTTTTCTTGGCTTGCAGCACCAACGGTTTCACTCCCCGTTACTCTTTCTCCTACCCTCCCGCCCCCTTCCCGACCCCTCCTCGTCCCGAGTGATTCTCCCAATCTATCTCCCGTATAGCCGCTACCTCCGGTATCATCATCGCCACCAACCATCGCTATCGCCATCGTCAACCGCTTTAAATATACGACAGCTATACGGGTGTGTGTATATATATTGTATACATATATGCGGAGGACCGATAGAATAAAGAGGAGCACTGTACGTTTGCCAGAGTTATATAAATATATATGCAAATGCACGTAGGTGTGCGTTGATAGATACGCATACGTATGCGCGCGGCATTGCGCGCATCCTCCTCTCCTCTCGCGCTCTCCACAACTGATCGCATCAAGTGCTTGTTTCCATGGTGATTGCTAATCGGGCCGCGCCTCGTGTTCTATCCTCCTACGCCATTTCCATCTTGCAATACCGTTCGCTGTTTCGCGAAAAATTCATTACAGTGTGACTTATAAAAAATTTAGCATTTCTTATCCTCACAAAAGGTACCTGTTCTATCCTGGACACAAACTTTCGCCACGTTTCAGAAAATCTATATGCTCCCATTACATTTCGAAAGCAAATCTTTACTGGGAGAAATACTTTCCGACAATGTCACTTCCGATTTCTTTTCGAGCCGCATCCCGAAGGCATTCCCGATGTAAGTTACGTAACTTTCTTCACCGATTCAGCAATACATTGTGACTATAAAAATTTAGTTTCTCGTATATCCTTATACAGGAAGTGCCAACTATAGATATTAAAGAACAAATTGAAAAAATTAATTGTTTTAATATATCGTTTGTACTATTAATTTTTAAAGGCAGGGGAAATAAAAATGTCAAACGGAAACGATACTTATTAATATGTGCGTAAATGGGAAGAGTTGTCCCACAAAATCGCTGTTAACCAGCGGTTTGAAGAAATACGGGCGTATTGATCGAGCAGATGTAAAGTAAATTTAAATACAAACGCGTAACGATGCGTATATATTATCATTAAGCGTCCACTGTACAACGTTTCAAGCATGCTAACCCAATGTATATACGAGGTGTTGATTTAATCCCGTGAAGCACTTTGATTAATGCAAGTCGTAAAAGTATTATCGCTGATATGCACAACACATTTCCATTGATGTAAACTGCGTTACACTGCGTTACACTCCATCAGCATGGACTTCTACGAGATAATTATTGTATAACCTTCGTTTCGAATTAACACGCGTATTGATTATCGCCGATCAGACAGTGCCCAGATGTATGAAACATCACTATTGCTTTCGATTGGGCTACAAATTTGTGGAGAATCGCGATTTGCATATCTCGCATACCACGACGATGTACGGCGCGAAGTCTAATATATTTTCCGGACGACTTATCCGTCAAACCGAACGACCGCGCACATCGCGATTCGCGGTTGACATCCTCCGAGCGATGGACCGCTATTGTGAATATATTTCTCGTAGATAACAACCGGTTCTCCGCGCGCTCACATGATGAAGCTTCGAGTCCCGCAAGGTCCAGCCTAGGGTTTTTTTTAAGACGGCGAATCGAGTCGACCATTAAAAGCCAGCCGAACGGCCATTTCTTTCGCCCTTTTTCCGTCGACCGGTTAGCGTAAACGCGTCCATCAAGATGTAGCCTCCGGAGAGGGTGGAAATGGGAAGGGGGGAAGCCCCGGGGGTGACCAAGGGCAGTTCACCTCGGGGCAGGTGTGCGGTTGGCATGACTCCGCCCCTCGTCACCGGCCGTAACTAGGGATGATATCTAACTTCGTCCTCCGTCCTACTCCCTCTCTCTCCCGGGCCCTCCTCGCCCCCTCGACGCTCCTTTTCAGATACGGTCGTCATGCCTTATGTTTTATCAGCGCGTTACTGCGGCCATTTCAGTGGTAGACGCCATCTTTTCGCGGCACGATTGTGAACACGCACGAGGGTTGTGCGTTCGCGCGCATCTTTCCATCCAGTTTGTCCCAAAGCCCGCCCGCCCGCCCGTCCGTCCGTTCGCCTGCGCACCATCACTGTCCCTGTCGTTTGTGGTTGCGCTTGAGTTTAATCAGCCACGGGTCCGCGGCTAGACTGGTTTGCGGCCTCTTTGATCCACCCGCTTTCCATGGCGGTGACCTTGCCAGTCCTCGTGAGACAGGTTGAAAATAGAGTGAACTGAAAGGTTTACTCGCGGAGAAAAAATCGGGCGTTATATCACAGATGTCGTATTATTAGCCCTTCGAATTCCATTTATTTAAAAAATTGCGAACCGTTTATAGTGATTAACGAGTTGCATACTTAAATCATACTCATTTAGACGCGAAATACTTTTGTAAAAAGTTTTTATTTGTAAAAGTTTTTATGATCCACGTATTATCCAATAACTTATTTTATTAGACCGAGCATGGCCTAGATCGATTTAAGTTGCGTCGAAATGCAGCCGATCGTCGAAGACTAATATACACGAATTTCATCGCACCGGTCAAAAGTTTCGAGCGCGATTCCGCGGATCCAACAACA